GTGTACTGTTCCCTTTCAGAGGTAGGAACATAGCCAGTTGGTTATCCAGCTGTTAGTGTTGATGTTGACTTACATGTTAAGCAAACGTTGTCTTGGTATAGAATCAAAAGCTGAAGAATAGCCCAGGAAAGCGCACCGAACATACTTCTTACCCTTTTCTAAGTTGAACACTATATTGTGATGCAGAACAGCAACAGCATCTAAGGTGCTTCTTTTGCATCTGTAAGCAAACTGATACGGATCAATATGCTCTTTTGTCGCAGGCTGAAGTGGAAGTATTAATAACTTTTCCATGGTTTTGAGGAAGGGTGAAGTTATTGCAATAGGTCTAACTTTCACATTCCTATCACCAGATACTTTCTTCAGTACAGGGATTGTCTTCATCTTCCTCCACATTTCCGGCATGATATTAGATGAGAAGGATCTGTTAAAGATAATCGTGAATGGATGAGATAGGACGTCAGCACATTTCTTAAAAAGGCGGTTTGAGATACCATCAGGTCCCAAACATCGGGATGAACAAGGTGACTGGAGACATCTTCGGACATCAGATTCAGGGAAACTAGGAACACAGCGATTTTATAAACCGGTGGATAAAGAGAGCATCACATCAGGTGGCTGACGTACAAAAGACTTTTTTCAAAGTCATACAGTTCAGCTGGCTATCGCTCCTAAACTCTCTGTCACCTGTAAGTTCTTTATAGAGTTTCCACATACTTGGAGAGTTTTCGCGAGACAATAGTTTTGAGTAAACATAGAGTTGAGACGTCTAATCTCTAGGTTTATCAGACCATTTAGCTTACGAACTTCATTGCAGTTTTTCTCCTTGTACATTCTTTCTTTCACCCTCCGTAGTCGTTTTAGTTGTGAAGATGTAAGTCGATCAAAACTCACAGAAATTGTTTCAGTGAGACAACAAATATCAAATCAGAATTTAAGGTAACAGTTGATAACATCGGTAGTGATTTCCAGTGAGTCATCTGTAAATAATTCTCAGTTAGTCGTATGAAACATGGTTTTCAGATTTTGGATGTTTTCGTCTGAGTAATTCCTATATTGGACATTCTTGGTTTGATGTAAGAGTGTACTCTTCCCATGCTTTCCATATACTTTAGGTAGAACACGAATTATACTGTGATCCGAGCAAGACAATGGAGCACGTTTACGAGTCGCATATATACACACATCGCTAATGAAAACGAAGTCTAAATGAGCATCCAAACGGGTAGGAAAATCTACTACATTTTGGTGTCCTGGTGATGTAAGGAAGCTACAGTCACATGAATTGAAATCACCACATACAACTGAAAGTGAATCACTGAAGGCAGTAACAGAGAACTCAGTGAATTCATCAGCGAAAACGGATAGCGCAGATGATGTGCAGTCTGGAGTCACGTAGATATTGGTAACATAAATATATTTGTGTTTATCCAGGTGTTTTGGACGACATCTTAGAGTTAGACAGTCGATAAAGTCATTTGAAAACTTAAAACACACAAACAATGATCGACACCAGTTTACGTTTAAACACGTAGCTACACCGCCGACACACCTGTTTTTATTGTTTGATCGATCCTGAGGATAAGTTTCGAAATCACGCAGTGATACTAGGCAGTCGTCCTGTTCGATCATAGACATATGTACGGTTTGAATGGTAAGAGATAGATAATCAAATTAGTTGGTGTTATTCCAGACCAAACGGCACTTAATATTTGTGTAGACGCTATCAAATTACTAAATGTTCCGTTGATCAAGAGATTTCCCTTACAGTTGTAGTTCAGAGCAACCCAATGTAACATTGACAGCTTCAGGTAAATAATGATATCAATGGTTTATCACGTATATCAACTGTCTTCTCCTTTTCATTATGTATAGTGAATGAATGCTTTTTTTCAGGTGTCTTATCACTGATAGGCGTTTTATTTAAACACTTGTTTGCCAAGGAATAAACTTAGTATCAGTATTGGTTTTGGGAAATTTGTTTAAATGGTTTTATATTGTTTTAATGATCTCGAAATTGTTGTTTATTCAGAAGAATATCTGGCTATCTAAATCAACCTACGGTGTCATATTAGGAGAATTAAAGACATTTCAACGAGTGAAGTTTCCTTACTCAAGCTGTACGATCATATTAATTGTTGAGCAACAAATGAAACAGTCTATTTAAACATGTGATGGTGATTATATCATATCACATGTTTGAAAAAATTGCCTAATTTTCAAGAATTCGAAGAAAGATAATAAAAAGATATAATTCACCTTAGGAAGGACAGACAAATAACGTTCGGAGTTGCTTTTGGGAAGCGCTTGCTCTATGCAGCGAATGGAACCTGTTCTACAAAAGCAAATGAACACACAGATGAGCATTGATTTAGCCCAATTCGGCAGATTATCTTTGACACACTCACGAGTGATGGGGAGATAAGAATAAACGATGCAATTCTTGACAGCATAGAGGGTTCATTCTAAGACGTCGTTTAACTTCAATTCAAATGTTCTGCAGCGGTATCTTCCTAGAACTTAAACTCCATGGTGGTTTTCTGGAATTTTGTGAGGTCTTCCAATTTGTAGTTTAGGTTCAATGTTTCTGTCAAAAGAACCAAGAGTAATAGTCACGTTTGATAAATATTTGATAGGACTTGCATATTTCCTCATCAATCGTGCATTCAAAACAGATTCACCCAGCCCTTCATAATGAAGAATGTATTGAGTTTCTCTTTCTGTCTGATGAAACACAACCAAGAAAATTCGTATGTATGGGAACTTGAAGTTTCATCGACATTGCTACTGTTACCACTAAGTACGTTTTGCCTTTCGCATTTCAGTTCAGAACTTTCTTCATGATGCAATTCGACGACTTCCGTAAAATGTGACCTACCCAACTTTTGGATCTTCTGCTAACGTCATTTTCAGCTGGATGCTGATTTGATAACTACCTGACTTGATTATTACCGAGGATATCAGATCAATGTAGGCAGCCGTTTATAAATGTCTGTACCTATTTGATGGCGGCTAAATTAGTTCTTCAAGTTTCAGATCCCTGAAATAAGATTGTCATGACGTTTGAATCAAAACTCGTAACATTGGTATTGACTGACAGTTATTATTATTATTATTATTCACTGGCAGCTTGAAATGTTCGAATTATCTTTTCAATGTCGCATCATTTGGCATTTTTATTTTGACCTGATAAGCAAAGTGTAATTGTGTCCTATGCCACATTACTTTAGTCTGATTAGCATTATGAGTAGTCGAAACTGTGTTTTGTGATTCATTATATTCATCAACGACAGTGAGAATGTAAGTGTTTTGAAATGTAGAAGAAGTGGTGGAATGAGAGTGGTCATCATTCCATTTGAAATAGTTTCAGATCAAAATAGTAGGTATTTTACATAGTCTCATCAGCAGACAATATCTCAACTGAGAAACAAATATGGTGGCTCCCAAATGAACTGTTTGATGTTGCGATGCAAGTCGTAACCGACGGTTTCAAAAATGCTGAAAATGAGGCGGATACATACAGTCAATAGTTAAGATGCCCACTTTATTCAATATTTTATGGTTAATACCATACGGAATTCTCAGCATAGTTCTCTACTGTGTTGGTAGACGAATTTGGATAAAATGAAATGAGACTCATCACATTACTCCTACCTACAGAAATCATTAGTGAATTGTGAAGGATCTACTGGCAGTTGAGTAGATATCGGAACCGCTGAACACAGAATTCAAGTTTGATTAGAAATTGTTTCTCTTATTGAGTTCCCTATTGTGTCGTCATGGCTGAATGAGAATTAGGCAATTTAGAAGGTGGAATCTCGTAGCGTAGAGAGTGATGATGTGATGATTATTCATCAATGTTCGATTTCTACTTGTTTCCTGAAATTCCTTTCGAGGTCATTCACCTCATCAGCTATCTTGATCCCTCATTGTTTAACCAGGTCTACATCATTTTTGAATCAATTTGAAGTCTAACTAGAATAAGTTTCTATGTATGGACAATGAGTGTTTGGTTACCCATGTTACATTTTTTGCTGTGTTACCCAGAGAAATCAAAATCAAAAGACAATTCTGTCCATCCTAAATAAAATTTATTCAACTATGAATATTACGACACCTACTATTTATGCTAATAAAACTGCTGATATTATTGACACTACTACCGCTGATGATGGCGATAACAAAACTGCGACTAGGAATCCAGTTCAGAGTATTTGACATTAAATATGCATGTTTTTCTTCTTGGGGTTCCTTCGTTTCTGTCGAAATCATTGTTACATAAACTGTGAAGAATAAAATAAGGTACTACTGTAATACTGAAAGTGATAGATCATATTTAATTTCATTTGTTGAAGCATAATTATTTGTGTGCCAAAATAGGTTAGTCTGGAGATGTATTATAATTGAATATGAAGACAGTGAACAGGAAGTCAGAGACATGAACTAAGTTTTGGGAAACTTTCTGCGTGATGCTACAATTGGAGACAATTTTGTTATTACAGACGGTTGTGTCTACAGTGGAATCTTTTTGTTATGGCTAAATTACACCATCTAAATATTTCTAAATGTAATCTTTTGAAAGTCTGGTTCAGCAGATTGATCAAACATTGTCCACTGATATGCATGTATTATTGATCAAGAGTTAGTTACCGTTTTCTAATTAATCAAGTGTATATCATTAATTAAGAACCGTACTCGCACTTGAATTTCATACTAGTATTTGATTTTAGCATGAATATACGAGGAAATTGCATTAACGTCAGAATCGAACTACTACACAACACAACAATGTCGACTCAGTGGTTTGAAGTTTAGTCTGTTGTCTCGACATATGAAGGTCATAGGTGCTTACAATCGATGTTGAAATAATCCAGGTGACTGTGTATTACGGTTGTCATCAAAAGTTGAGTCAGCCACTCAAGAGAAATGAAATGTTTAAATGAAACAATGGAAACTGAACACCTGATTAACATTATAGTCACTGATTTAGTGTAACTTACACGGAGACGGTACGATATCCTCTGCGTGTATTTTTCTCCACCTCAGAAGGTGGTGGTAATTTTAGTACTGTTGTACAACTTTTGTTTTGTATTGTTAATGTTCGATCTTCCGTTAATGAGAGATTGAAAATTTTGCTGGTATAGTTTATAGTTCCTAAAGAGAGGAAATACGTTATGTAGACTGACTATCTCTTCGTTACTTATAATGTAAATGCAAGACAATCAGAGGGACGAAGCAAATGGAAGAGAGAGAAGCGAAGTGACGTGCATTGAAGAAGGCGTGTGTGTGGACTTAACTTCATTTACTCAAGTGTTAAAAAATATTCTTCACTTTTAATTACTTGACTTATGGATGCTTGACTATGATAACTACTGTAAACCTTATGTTTACTGGCAGAATGTACGTGCTAACAAAGATTTCGAGACCGAGATGACTGATATAACAGTGTTATCTTAAGTTTTCAACAAACACACGTGAATAAAATACGTCAGAACAAGTAAAATACATTGAAATGCAGTCTTGAGATATATTGACTTCAGTGAAAAATGTACGGGATACTCATTGATGCACTAAGAGTGTAACAAAGTGTACGCTTAGCATGCGATTGTGTGATCGAAGGAACGAATGATACCTTGGTACTTGTTGAGTGCTCGATTTCGAATTCCAAATACAATACATTCGTTTGTGCTTGTGTCGTAATTGTTGATTCAATCGCGTTATTTCTGGAACTCTTAGTTCGTACTATAACTCAAATAATTCGAAACATTATGAAATTTCATTCAATCGATTGTTCCTTAATTTCCCGTAGAGTTGCGATTTGGTCTGTACACTAGATCTGTTCAGTCTATGTTGAAGAGCAAGCCTCAACTATAATTGGAGATTGGGTATCATGCATAATAAAACGATGGATAACAGTGCTGAAAAAAATAGTTCATTTAAGTATATGATATTCTGAAGGTCGGTCAATTTACTTCTACGAAAACTACTACTACTATTACTTCTACTACTATTACAATTACTACTACTACTCACACTAAAACTAATACTTACCATATTCATAGTTCAAGTACAAACACGTAGATTACATTCATGTTTAGAATATACAATTTACCTGTTTCGTCAGTTACTATTGGCACTGAACAATTGTTTGTTTCAGTCGTCACTAAGCACCATATCCATAAGATAGTTACAGCAAGGTTAGCTTTCACTATTTGTGCTCCCATTTCTTAACTGAAGAATAATGAAAAATAGCTGAAATCTTCACTATTTATATTGGTGACAGTTCACGAATATGATACGCTCAATGAATTGTTATTGATGTATACATTTTATTGCATTTTACCGTTTTCTAATATGAGAAAATGGAAGAGAATAAAAGATTTCAGGTCATGATAATAATCACTCCATACACAACATTCAATCTTACGTACTTGAAATTGAGATGTTTGAGGACAAAGGATGAGAAGGTGAATTGTATTCTAAATAAAACGACTTATTAACAGAAGGGCTTTTTGTGAATATTATAGTAATTTATTAGTTGAGGTCCCAGGTTTAAATCTCGCGGTGTGGGATCGTGGATGCACGCTGCTGAGAAGTCCCATACTAGGACAAAACGGCTGTCCAGTGCTTCCAGGTTTTCCATGGTGGTCTAGCTTTAATTGACTTATGAACTCAACTAGTAGAAAGATTTATCTCAACAATTCAGAAAACAAACTTTTTAGATGTATCGGCTACCTTCTGGCATCTATCCATTTATCTATCAACTAGTCAATCTATCTATTATCTTCCTATAGATGTCAATCCACCAACGACGAAAGAAATCAGAATGGCCATCAGACAAATCAAGAGCAGGAAAGCAGCAGGACCCGACAATATACTAGATGAAGCACTGAAGCCAGACATCGAAGCAACTACAAACATGCTTCACCTTCTATTCAAGAAGATTTTGGGGGAGAAACAAGTGCCGACCCTAAGTAGATTGCAAAAAGACCATAAGAACGCCATAGCAGGTTTATTTATTTATTTGAACGCATAAACATTAGTACAAGGAGGCACCAAATACATATGCGCCACACAGATCACTTGATTTGTGTGAAGGCTGTGATACTAGCCGGGTGTCCAAACTGAAGCAGGTGGACTCCCTAGGGTGGCACACTCGGATCCTTCGAGCTAAAGGTCTAATCCATAAAGCAGTGAGACAGGGTGAGATGTAATTCCATAGTAGCCGGTAACCAACAATCGGTTCACACGCCACTTCCCCCTCCCCAAGATCCGGGAGCCCATTCGCATCCATTGGTTTGGAATCAGGGTTTCCCAACTACACTAGGTGGATCCTCTATATCCATCGACCCTGTTAAAGTGCCGGACACTCGCTTTTCGTCCTCTCAATTTTGTAAACAACACCCTCACCACGAGAAGGCAGTGAGTAGGACTTCCCTGTCAGTGGCTGTACACGCATGGGCGCGCGGATTCACCCCATTCTCGCCATGCCATGGCATTTTCGGGCTAAATTCTTTAATAAAGAGAAAGCGATTACACTTTACCGATGTTATGTTTAAGAATAATAAACAGTGACAATGGTATGGCCAGCAGTTTAGGCTACACTATACTGACTCTAAATAGTGTTATTTGGACATGATTATCGGTACATATGCATCATATCCATTTCACTGAAGTCGCAAAGTAAATGCACAGTCATCCGATAGTATGCATTAGCATATACAACATGCCCTAAGCCCTGTGTCCTTCACGCATGAAACCATAAAAATGCGTCCAACCGTAGAATTACAAAACCTTTATTATCTGCGCTAAGGCTTATTTGCATTAGCATTCATCGATAAGTAATATGTTATCTTAGTATACGCTATTATGTTAACTATAAATAAAATAAATAATTATTGCATTCTCTAGCAGTGCCTGTGAACTTCCTTCCTGTGGAATACAAGTCAGTCAATAATGATAAAAATGTTGTTTGACCTTTAAATGTTTACTAAGACTTAATAAGATTAAGTTTTGCCCGAATTTCGATCTGTTAAACAAAAACAAACTCTTAAGAAAATTAGAATATTTATTGCAACTTTACAGCCCGAATACAAAAGCACATCTAAAGGTCAAGAAAAATAACTTGGAAAAAGTACTACTAGCTGGAAAGAAATCGGGAATTTCATTCTTTTTTCTTCCTTGATGAGTTACTTGTGGTGACTTGCTCGTTACTTTGATAAACTTCATGAGAAATGCGACTCAGATAATACAGCATCACCAGCGAAAATATGAAACTACAAATAAAACAATTAAGTTATCTTTACCATAAATACGAATCAATAAACGAAGTATAATGAGTATTATTTCTTATAGTACAAACGCTATAGGAAGTTACATTACTTATTGATCCGACCATAGTTACTACGGTCGAGCTACATCGGCTGTCAGTCAGTCGGTCACAACGTAGAATCTGTACGTACGCACACTGGTTCAAGTTGCCATGGCCTACTAGCACAGAGATGTTGTCAGGCTAAATCCCAGAACAGTAGAGAAAGTAACAGTATCAGTAGTATTAGGAAAGATTAGGCACCGAAGATACGAATCCAAAAGAAAATATCAATTGATGAAATCAAAACACAAAAAACAAGTCACCGGAAATTTAAAACCTCAGGATTTGATGGGTCAGTCAGTTAGTCAGCTACAACGTAGGACCAGGTACATATATGCATCGGTCCAGGTTGCCATACCGCATAGGAGTGGTTAGGTCAAAGGTGGTAATATATAGGAGAAAGATAGTATAGGAAGAAAGAATAAGATAGTAAAAAGAAAGGTACGAAGCGATTTTAATCTCTTAGTTTAAGGGAAGACAGGGAGTGTATACACCTACACCATTGTGACCAATTCTGAGCCATGTCACCAAGTCTCCAACCATTGGTTACGAAAGTCACGCGGACCCCAACCAAGTAGTCTGCATCTACCAACATGGCTCAGACTAGAGGTTAGTGTCTTCAAGCACTGATGCCACGTTTTAGTTTGGCCGCCCCTAATTCTCTTCCAACCATCCCGAACACCCGTTAGCATTGCACGACGTGGTAATCGGTGTTCAGGCATACGTAACACGTGGCCCAACCATCTCAGTCGATGAAGATTCACAACCTCATCAACTGATTTACCATCATTACCTAATACCCTGCGTGTAACCTCACTATTACTTACCCGGTGATCCCAGCAGACGCCAGCAATATTTCTAAGGCATCTGTGGTCAAATACTAATAGCTTACGAGTGTCTTCTACTCTTAATGGCCATGTTTCGCTGCCGTAAATTAAAACAGAACGGACTGCCGCGCAGTATACTCGTCCTTTTATTGATAGACGGATATCTCGCCTTCGCCATAGGTGGCGCAAGTTGGCAAAAGCCAAGCGAGCCTTTCGAATCCGTGCTGATATTTCGTCAGACACCAACCCATTATGGCTGATCAGACTTCCAAGATAAGTGAAGTTGTCAACGCGTTCGACTACTTCACTCTCTATTCTTAGTTCACGTGTTGACGCAGACCAGTCCTGAAGCAATAACTTGCATTTAGATGGAGAGAAGCGCATTCCAAACATTCTAGCATTGCTGCTTAGTGCTACCAGAAGACTGTATTTTGTCAGGGTCTTCACCAAACAGGACTATGTCATCTGCGTATTCTAAGTCGATAAGTAGACCTCCTGGAAGGAGATCAATACCCGAGAATTCAGTCGACGAGAATGTTATTTCCATCAGTAGGTCTATGATGAAGTTAAACAAACATAGAGAAAGTGGACAGCCTTGACGTACACCACTTGAGGCTGCAAAAGTAGATGACAGTTCGCCATAAGCCCTGACTCGACTAGTAGTGTTCGAGTAAAGAGCCTTTACAAGGTTTATGTACTTTTGGGGTACGCCTTTCAATGATAGGTATAAACTTACTGGTTGGGTTCCACGTGATTATCACAATCAGTGGTTAGATACTTAGAATGACATGGTTGGAAATCGTTTGCAATGGCGCCTGTGCATCTACTCAGTGTTTCATCAAATCCTGGTTTCATCATCAAATCAGGATTTGATGAAACACTGAGTAGATGCACAGGCGCCATTGCAAACGATTTCCAACCATGTCATTCTAAGTATCTAACCACTGATTGTGATAATCACGTGGAACCCAACCAGTAAATTTATACCTATTAACATGACCAAGTCCAAATGTCACTTGCATCATGGGCCGATGTCAAGTCTCGGTCTGGCCGCCCCTAGGTATCTTCCAACCCAACCGTGTGCAAGAAAACATCCCTCGTCGATGTAAGCGGTGGTGGGACGTACGTAACACATGCCCCAACCACCTCAGTTAATGAACATTTGCTACCTCATCAATGATCGCGATAAAATCCATTTGCGATTATCTTCGAGTCAGTTGTAGAAATTTTACCATATCAAACGATATCTTTTTATGCTATACAAGTAACCTATAAATGTCCTCTATTATCAGTGACCATCCTTCACACACATATAGTACAACAGACCAAATAACTGAGCATCAAACTTATCCTTTAGTTGGCAAATGGATACCTTACCTCTGCTACAAGTGATGTAAGTTGATATAAGCCGACCGAGCTTTTTTATTTCGTAACGATCCCGCCAGCCAATCCTGAAGTAACATTTGGAGGAAGAGAACTGCATCTCAAATATGTCTGCATTGTTACTAAGGGTGGTCAATAGATTGCATTTTGTCAGCGTCTTCACAAAACAGAACCATGTCATCTGTGTATTTTAAGTCAACAAGTGAGCCTCCCGTTAGAAGATAAACTCCTGGAGGACAATTCTGACAAACACAACTTGAAGTAACCAATTCCGAGGACAGTTCACCATGAGCTTTGTCTCGATGAAAAGTGTTATAGTAGAGATCCAGTACAAGGTTATTGCACTCATCAGTAACGGGATCAGTGGAGATTGTCGGGTGTATGAGTTATTCACATCAGATAATAAATGAAGGGTTGCGAAAGATCATGGATCGACTGGAGTTAGATATAAACACCGTTGGATGCCGACTTAACGGTTTAGAGGTTAAGAGTTCGAGTACGAGAGCGAGGGTCCTCGATTCGAATCCTGCGTGCGGAACCGTGGATGAGCGCTATTGAAGAACCCCACACTAGGACAAGACAACCGCCCAGTACTTTGAAAACCTGTTCTCCACTTTTATTTATTTATTTGTTTATTTCAACACATAGATATTGGTACAAGAGGGCACCAAATATATATGCGCCACACCATATTTGTGTGTGTGTGTTGGCTGTGATACTGCCCGGGTGCCCAGACCGAAACAGGTGGTTTTCTTAGGGGGCCACGACCCGAGCCCTTAACCTATAGGTCTGGCCCACAAGGCAGTGGATCATCGTGAGGAGATGCATTCCCATGGTAGCCGATGACCAACAATTGGTTCATACGCCATTCGTTCACTCAGGATACTGGAGCTCATGTGCACTATTGGTTTGAGATCTGGTTAAAGCGCCGGACATTCACTTTTCGTCCTCTCATTTTTGTAAACAAGACCCCCGCCACGAGAAGGCAGTGAGTAGGACTTCCCTGGCAGAGGCTGTATACGCGTGGCCGTGTGAGAGTATTTCGAGAGGGAGGGCGAACCCTCCCCGCTCTCGTTCATACCAGGGCATTTAGAATACTATGGAATAGGAATTCCAGTAGTTTGAAACATCACTAGCACCGGTACGAAATTTTAAAACATTAAAATAACTTAGGTTATATCAATACAATCTTACCATGTCGTGCCGCACACGCGATGTATAGTCGCAGAGAAGGAACAGGCAATAAAAATACATATGACCACTCCAAGTATGTTAGATTTTAATCGATAATACCTTCAGGGAAAACTTTGGAGCAGAACTCATCACCAAAAAGTGTCCTTTCGAAATTATTTACAAACTAGAATGTCAGTTGAACAACAATAAACTAATACCGTTATTAATAGAACGAAGACAAAACTGCCGGAAAATCCGCCAAAGATTGTCAAAATTTGTGAAGAAGACAATGTTTCCGCAAACAGCCGCATAGCTGCAAACACTACAAGTAACAACAACAAAGACATAAAAGAAGAAGCTCCAGACTTCAGCACCATTTTCTGTACGCGACGTTAAGCTTTAATTTGGCCGCTTCAAACGTCTACAAATAGCCATGGTTTCAACTGCTATGGATAAAAAATACCGTGCAACGGATGTCTACAACTTAAAGTAATAAAACACTATAACCTAATGTTAGTAGTCTGAGTATTAAAGAAAACGTTAAAATGTTTCGAACTGTTATGGAGAGAACTCCGGTCTTTTCTATTTTTGTATTGAAAAACATTTACCACACAACTATAAACACGAATGCAAAGTCTAACCAAATGATTTCGTCAAAAAGACTTTCTTCTCCAGATTCTTCTATTCTATTGCAGTTACCTGTTTAAAAAAAACAGAGGTTAAGATAAGAAGTAAGACTAACTTCAATGTACACGAGTTCTTTGAAGACGAACCACCTTCATAAAAACTAGTTCTTTGTGACATTCCTGTCGATTTTACGTTAATGAAGCTCCGAAGATATGATTAGACGGAAACCGTTGTTTATTAATAACGACTGAGTTTCGTTTTTGTGAAGGGAATTTTCATGGGGTACCGATGACCACTGCAGAACAACTAAGCACTGTAAAAATGCTCTGTTCTAAGATTCCGTAGTTCTGTGAAAAAGATCGAATTCACAACCATCAGTTCTAATAGGGACCATATTATTCTTAGACTACTGAATCAGCATACAGTAGTTCACAGTTCCGACTTTAGTCGATTCCTTATTTATTGCTGAAACTATAAGATAACACCAGTGAAAACTGTCTCACTCCAATCATGATCGAATTCCATAAAAAACAATGACCTGCTAAATCATAAAGTTAGTCATTAGAGAGCACGTAGTTTTTACTTATTTAAGTTAAATAGAGGTAACTGCAAAGATGTTCTACGTTCTCTTCAAAACATTTTGGAGGAATAACAAGTACCAACAGACTGGAAAGAAGGATACCTCATCAAGATACCAAAGAAAGGGATCTCGGAGAGTTGAGAACTACAGTGGCATCACACGACTGTCAGTACCAGGAAACATTCCCAACACAGTGCTGTTGAACGGAATAAAGGACTCCGTAGATGCTCAATTTTGATATCAATAGATTGATTTTCGTAAGGATTGGTTGGAGAATCCTGGTTGGTTGCCTATGCTTTACGAGGCGTAAAAGGAGTAGGCAAGTACTGGAGATTCGTGAGACGAAATATTAATTGTTTAATTTCAAGTTCTCCGATCAATATTAGTTAGTAATGTAAACTATAACCAAATTTTCACCCTTCCCACGAAACACTGCGTGAAGAGTGTAAAATACTTAATTCCCCGATTTTCGGCAAAAAAAACTGTTACCATTCCATAAATGCTGCAACATCGATCGTTAAACAGATATGAATAAAATGTTCTTTCTCAATATGCTAATAAAATTATGCGAAAGGTAAGGTAAGAAATCAACAGAAAAAACGAACATATATATTCACAAATTTTTCTATATACAATAGAATGCATAAACGAAGGGAACATAATATTGAAGAAGTGAATATTTACTCTCATTCATACAAATCAAAGTCAATACGTGTGATGTTATAGAATTGTCCATCAGACTTCGTTGATTCACGTATTAAAATATTGTCATCGTCATTAAATGTTCCATCTTGAAGCCACACTTTTAATTGTTCAGATGTGTATGGTCCTTCAATTTCTGTATTTGGTTTATTTGAACGTTTTAAATGCCACATGACTGAGGTATTATTATTACTGCCATCATGGTCAGTACCATCATGTTCTTCAGTTGATTTGATTCCACCTAATAAGCATTTTAGAAATTTGAACATGAATAAGGTCAACTATTTTACAAAATCAACCATACAAGGAAATTAGAAATTGATTGAAGCGATCATTCTTTGCATAGTGTATTTGATCTCAATAATGTTTCTGAGCCTTATGTACAGGATATATATCTTTAGACTAATATGACAAGTTTTATGAGAGTTAATTATTAATTCCACCCAAAAGACAACAAAGTATGTTCTATGCTTGCTACAGATGTCATACAATACTTGACTGACACTAGACATTATGACTTGTCATCAGAATTTCCAATAACTAGTTGACATCAGCGACAGTCATAAATACAATTTTGAAGATGATCAGTACCAACTAAGTAGACATTGAAAATTACCCACAGATTTATCAGAAATTCCTACTTTCTATCCAAATATGAAACTTAACCAGTTTTACAAATCTTATAGGTTAATACAAGTTATTAGCCACATATACATGTCGACAAAACAGAAGTGTGACTTAACAAATCGTGCAAGATGTATGAGAGGAATTATATTTAGTTTCGATCCCCTGTATACTGCTATTAATCAACGGAACTAGTGTAATTGCCGATGAAGCTTACAAATTTGTGTAATATCCTATTGTCTGCTATTCATTGTTGGGGTAGACCGATAGCTGGATTATATATAATATAGCCTATTGTTATGGTTTCTCTTATTACGACTCAGCTACTCTTATTGCTTAGTTTTCTTGGACACCACTTCACTCGACAAGTCCCCAAATCAGAACACGGTTGAACATGAATGCAATTGCATTCATATAACAAGGGTGGATGGAAGTAGGAATCAAAATTTTAAAAAATGAGAGCATATTCATGATTTTTACATGGGAAGATTCGACAGTCTCCTCCAAGTACTCCTTAGCGCTGGTTAATCAAGAAATAGCCAATTAGCGTGCCCAAACACAATCCTGCACAAAACATGCTCTGATCCAATATATATCCCTCTAACACTTATGGACGATTAGCTGTGATTCAAAGTGACTATGAGCAAGCTCACTGTCTCAGCAGCTAAAATGTACTACTTCGACTTATGATGTTCTCGCTGTTTAGGGTAAGCAGTACCATTTCGTGACTTCTGTTCGTTTTTTAAATTGTTTCCTATTCACTTTACTTCCTCTCTTATTAGTTTTCCCTTACAGAATTGATATCGTCTAATAACTGGAACCAAAGCAAGTTTGTGTTCAGTCTTACAGTTTTGCTTTTTTTCCAATACAAATAAGTACCTCATAAGATGATCAAGCGAAGAGTTAACAACGTTTAATATTTAATCTAATCGATCAAAAGTATTTAACCATGGAGTGATTCCGGATACATAGCAAGAGAAATAGGGTAAGAAAATATGGAAGGTGATTATAAATACTTTTCTTGAGAAAAGAAATGGTTTTAGCCTGCCTGTAGTTAACTGATGTTTTGTAACATTTAAGTGCAAATATCCTTGAAAGGATTAAAATGAGTAGACTGTCTTTATAAACGTTTTCTTCTAGGTCAAACATGGAAACCATAGTTATTTCCTAGATAATAAATATCTTGAAAGTCACTAATTTTAACGTCACCGCGATACGAATTGAAAGTCGCTAACTATATCTAAGTGGACTACAAAAAATTCTATTTCATTTAATTTAAATTAATCACGTATTTAGTAGATGTAGCGAAATGTCTTCGAAAATTACAAGACAGTGCTGTCTTGAGAATTTCAAACCAAAACGCTGAAAGCTGTAGTCTTGAATATTACCGCTACGATAATGCTTACTAATTTTATTACAAAGTATAGATTGAAGCTCATTTTTCAGGTAAAAACAACAAACCTTTATCGTCAGCTTGCTTTTCATCAAATGCTTGACCGAGGACTTCAAGTTCATCATCTGCTGCGAATTGTTTTGTACATTCTATCAGTTTTTTGATATCGTCGAATGTTTTTTGATAAACATCAAAATCTCCGCCTTGAACAAGTTGGTCAGCTAATTCAGTAACACGAATTAATCCTTCTGGATTGCCGCTAGAAGATGTTTTTTCAAAAAAAAACATATATCCGATCTGTCTACGATAACTAAGCGAATGTAGTAAATATAACTTTCAAGGATGAAAATGTTTCTTAGAACAATTTGTCCTGAATATACAAGTATGACTGTTACTACCTAGACATCTCAAGATCCCAGTATATTATGAGTCATACAATGAATATACACTAGTACACATCTGAACTGAATTTGGGTAATATTCCGGTTCCATAACGTGAAGCCACGACATAATGATTAGAAGGTAAAGTGCCTGAATCGCTAAGTCAGAGGGACTATTTTTCAATTCAACTAATTTGCTTTGGACATGGGATTAGTTTTTCTTACCGTTTACATCATGAATGTGAGAGAAAACAGTGTATGAATCTGTTTCACTACCATGTTCTACTAATGAATGATACATTTATTGAATTTCGAAAGATATGATTGTTGAGAAATAACTATTTTAAGACCGATTTTTCTAAGAACGAGATCTCCAAGTCCTCACATTACCTTGGTCATAGAAAAATAATATTAGTTTTTATAACCTAAGAGGCTATGACCCCTCTTTTTGTTTATCCGCATTTTCCCAATATTCTGTGAGCACAGACTTATCTTCTATCTATAATCTATTTCCACTTAATGTTTTTCAGTACTTTAAAACACTTCCGACCACTTTTTAAATGTAACACCTATTTTAGTACAGACTTGTGTGTGCTAAATAATTACAAATACGGCTGTACCCTTTCAGTAAATGATACTTCCAATTCCGAATGTTTCGATGGGTTTCTCTAATTACATAAAGAGTGAAATATTTCTCCATGATGTTCGTATCGTTATTCCTTTTCACTGCTGGTGAATAAATATTAATTTCAAAATTAGAAACAAATGGAACGCTACACTTTAATTCGTATCACAATTTTAATGAGTTGTTAGACATCGTCTCTAACACAACATGATATACTGGAATACGTATGCCATAACCAAAAGTACAACACCATATGTGACACTTACGTCTCAGTTTTAGTTTTCGGATTTTTATTTCGTAGCCAGCGTTGGCTGGCTGAAGCGGACTTCTTAGCATCTGAACAGGCACCCATACGTCTGATACTGCGCAGAACGGTCTCAGAAGGTTGTAAATAAGATAAGAGTTCTTGGTACAAAGCGAGTTTCTCCTCTTTACTTAGCACTTTCCCGCCGAGTTCATCGCTTATCGATGTGTCTTTCAATGAATTCTTTTCCTGGTTTTTCTTGACTTCTAGCCAATTAATATCTTCTAACCAATTATCACGAGCATCAACTTGCTATAATAACAGTAACCGTTAATCATAATTTTTCTACTAACTTTCTTGAAAATGAAAGTGCCAGCGGAATCGAAGTGACCGTCTTCCTC